TTTTAGGAGATGCCTTTTTAGATGCAGATGGATTATCTTGTTTTTATTACTCCCAGCATGAAATCGTTACTCTGAGTTTGCTGCACCCCAGATGGTTCTTCAAGGGTTCTTTAGTAAAGAAACTGATTCTGTATAGAACCATGAACACTCAAAGAACCATTTGCATGATTGAAAGTGTTCTTCAGATTGATTTAGAGTGTGCTTTAGATGGTTCTATATAGAACCTTTTTTGAAAAGGGTTCTTCTGTTGTTACAAGCTTGACAAAAAGGCACCCTTTTTGGTGTTATATAGAACCCTTTTTAAAAAGGTTCTATATAGAACCATCTACAAAACACTCTAAATCAATCTGAAGAACGCTTTCACCATGCAAAGAACCCTTTAATTATACAAACTGTTCTTTGAGTGTTCATGGTAGAACTGTTTTTATCACTAAAGAACCCTTGGAGAACCGTCTTTGTTTAGGAGTGTGGGAGAACCTGTCTTTGTGCTTCGTTTTTGCTTTGTTCATGTTTGAGACCTGTTGGTGAGTCTCTGTTGATGCTGCTGTACACGTTCGTCTGTTTTGAGGTTGTTGATTGTATTTTTTTATTTTACTGTGGCAAAATCCAACACTTCCTGTTTCACTGATGATTTTAGGCCCTTTTCACATTTCCGCATCGTTTCTGCTGGAAGTCGTCGTTGCAGGGTGACGCTGAGTGTGTTTACATGCACTCAATAATCCAATAACTGCAGAAAATCAGATTTTGTCAGTAATTCGAACAACACGTTTACATGCACTTGAGTAATCAGACAATGGGAAACTTCGGGTCTACATGAGTCAGACAGTAATCAGATTTATACTTTACAACCAGCCAATAAACTCACAGAAGAAGACGCGACGTAAACGTAACGTAAAACTCAAACTTCATAAGCGGCTTTTTTAAAACAACATCGCACCACTTAACCTGAAAATATGAACAAACATCATCTAGAAGATGAAGAATATTTAAATCCTTCATTTCCTGTTTGGTTTCAGCGCCGCTCCAACAGTGTTTTGCTGTGTCTCACGACATCCACCGTCTGATCTCACACAGACTGAGAAATCCGAAAGAAATCAGAGTACGAGTACACATGCACTGAGAAATCTGATCACTGAGCTAAAATCCAGCCTTATTATCAGATTTCTTAATCAGATTTCTAGATCGGAGTATGGTGTTTACATGACCATTTGAATAATCGGATAACTGCAGAAATCCAATGATCAGATTATTGAGTGCATGTATACGCACTCATTGATGACGAGTTGAGTGTGTACAGCTCGCTAAAGTGTTCGAGCTTAAAGCAAAAACAGCCTCATCTCGGTTTCAGTGGTTTATCTGCTGATGATGAACAGAGGAAAACGAGTTTGTGTGATTAATAAAGGAATAAACTTTGTCATATGGAGTTAAAGAACTTCTGTGCCAGCATTTCACCACTGCTGACTAATGTTAACGTGCAGTTTGTGCTGTAAAGTTGCTGCTTCAGCCGCTTTCAGAGGAACAGTGTTCATTTTCTCCCCCTAAAGCTGTCGGTATCTGAGAGAGCGAGAGCTCAGCGGGGAGCAGATGATCGTTCACTGGAGTCTGTGTTTGTGTAAAACGTCTACAGTGGTGCTACGGACCATGACGACCCGGCGCGCCCCCTGCTGGTGTGCGTCTTAAGCTTTTTGCCAACTAGTTTATTCTTAGCAAGCTGTTTCAACATCTCCAGCTAACATGGCTAATCCAGTGTTTTGGTTATAGTTATTTTCACCTGTTCATCGGTTTCTCTCTCGTTAGACGTAGCTGACGTTACTGTGCTCTGATAGCTGTGAAGGAATTTTTCCACAAAGCATTTATATCCTTTATTTAGTCTGGACTCCACATTGTTGTGTGTTCAGTTCTCCAACAGTTCTGGACTCATCCTCTCATGGCTGAAGTGATACGAACGCCTGTATTTCTGAGGTTAGTAACTGTCCACAAGGCAACACTTGTTTTACCAGTGTTTACTCACTTCTGTTTCTTGTGAAAAGGGCCTTTTGTACAGGACTGTTAACTCGATGATGGCATAAACATACCTGATGGGCCACAAAAGCTTTTCACTGGATTGAAACGTCTACAGGAGAAAGACGAGAAGTTGGAACTACATGTCGTTGCTCTTTCTGATTACCGGCGATCTGAGATGATCCCTCGTGGACTTAGAATGAAAAAGTTTCCCTCCTTTAGATGGACAGCCCTGATTTTAAACACAAATGCTCATTTGATCTCACCCTCCTGCTGATAGAGGAAGCTAAAATTCAGAGGGCCTCTGTGAAGAAGGGTATTGTGGAGATGGAGGCCAAAATTCTGTCTCTGAAACTTAAGGAGGATATTGAGAAGTTCACTGTGTCTCTAAAGCAGTCTAAGATCATCAGATTCAAAAGGGATCAGGCTGATTATACAGAGGGATCAGTAGATTCCTGACTCATCGCTCTCCACGCTCTTCAAACGTGAATAAACAGTCCAGGACAGCGGCTTTCGGTTTACCAAGTAGTGAGGATAAAGATGGGGTCACTAAACATTCCAACAGTGAACTCTCTGGTTGTTTAGAAGGTCCTTCCTGGCCAGGCCCTCCAAATTTAGGCGTAAAAACACGGAGAGGGAGGAAAAGGAACAGCCAGAGGTCCAAATGTAACTCGCCAACAGAGTCAATCCCACCGGCCACGAACACAAAGCTCGACCAGGAGGACCAAATGAGGAAAACAGTTATTAGCATCTCAGGTTCTCCTCTTTCTGAGGCTTGTTTATCGTTTACCTTCTAAAGGCCTCTCTTTTGCCCCTGTTCACTCAGCCTGGGAGTTTCAGACAAAGGTGGACTTGTTTAAATTTGAAGTTTGGTATAAGCAGAAATCAGATTAGCTCTACAGCAGGATGAGCTTCCTGTAGTGATGACGACTGTACTGCTTCTGCTATGATTTCAACTGATACTCCTTTTAGACCCAAGTCTACATCTTTCCCTAAACTCTCAGAAATAAAGGTACTAAACTCTCACTGGGGTAGTGTACATCAGTACCTTTACTCAGGGAACATGACTGTACCATAATCCACTGAAATTATACAACCCCATTTCCAAGAAAGTGGGGATGCTGTGCAGAATGTGAATAAAATTAGGATGCAACGATATGCAAATCATGTAAAATTTTGAAACTGAGAAATTTTATTGTTTTTTGAAAAATATTTGCCCATTTTGAATTTAATGCTAACAACACACTCCAAAAAAGTTGGGACGGGGGCCTGTTTACCACTGTGTTTCATCACCTCTTCTTTAACAACACTCTGTAAGCGTTTGGGAACTGAGGAGACACTGCTGTAGTTTAGAAAGTGAAATGTTTTCCTGTTCTTGTTTGATACAGGATTTCAGCTGCTCAGACAGTTCAGGGTCTCCTTTGCTGTATTTTACATTTCATAATGTGCCAAATGTTCTCAGTGGTGACAGGTCTGGACTGCAGGCAGGTCAGTTTAGCACCTGGACTCTTTTAATATGGAGCAATGCTGCTGTAATACATGCAGAATGTGGTTTGAGATTGTCTTGCTGAAATAATCAAGGCCTTCCCTGAAAAAGACGTCGTCTGGACGGCAGCATATGTTGCCAAAACATGTATATATCGTTCAGCATTAATGGTGCCTTCACAGATGAGCACGTCACCCATGCCATGTGCACTAATGCCCCCTACACCATCATGAATACTGGCTGATAACAAGCTGAGTGGTCTTTAGCCCGGAGGACACAGCGTCCATGATTTCCAAAAAGAGTTTCAAATGTTGATTCGTCGGACCACAGGACACTTTTCCACTTCCCCTCAGTCCATTTCAAATGAGCTCAGGCCCAGAGAAGGTGGCAGCATTTCTGGATCCTGTTTATATTTGGTTTCTTCTTTGTGTTTTAGAGTTTTAACTCTCATTTGTGGATGCAGTGATGAACTGTTTTCACAGACAGTGGTTTTCAGAAGTGTTTCTGAGCCCATGCAGTGATTTCCACTACAGAATCCTGTCTGTTTTTAATGCAGTGCCGTCTGAGGGCCCAAAGATCACGGCCAGCAAATACATGTTTTTGGCCTTGTCCCTTACATACAGAGATTTCTGCAGATTCTCTGAATCTTTTAATGATATTTTGTACCGTAGATGATGAAAAGCACAAGTTCTTTGCTATTTTATGTTGAGAAACGTTATTCTTGAATTGTTGCACTATTTGATGGTGCAGCCTTTCACAGGGTGGTGAACCCCTCCTCATCTTTACTTCTGAAAGACTCCGCCTCTCTGAGACGCTCTTTATACCCAATCATGTTAGTGACCTGTAGTCAGTTAACCACCAGGTGTTTTTTTTAGCATTAAACAACTTCACCAGCCTTTTGTTGCTCCTGTCCCAACATTTTTGGAACATGTTGTTGGTATTGAATTCAAAATGGTTACATGTATTTTTAAAAAACAATACAATTTCTCAGTTTGAACATTTTATATGTTGTCTGTACTATTTTTTAATAAATATAGGGTTTAAATGATTTGCACATCATTGCATTTTGTTTTTATTTACATTTTGCACAGCATCCCAACTTTTGGGAACGAGGTTGTGAAGAGAGAGAGAGAGAGAGAGAGAGAGAGAGAGAGAGAGAGAGAGAGAGGACAACAGTGATCTATTGTACTCTTGCTTACAGATGGCTGTGGCATCACTGGGAGTCAAAACCTTCTGCTGATAAGACCAACACTTAGACTGCTCTGCTGCTCAGGAGCCCCACCATCATTTTTAACATCCAAACAAACAGAAAAAGATTCCGACTCAAACCTGCAATTTAATAATAATGTAATCTAAACCGAATATCAAAAACGACATTCAGGCTTTTATGTTTAAAGGGACAATCCAGACCTTTCATTCTTTACTCGTTTACTGTTTAAAGAAGTTTATATACTGACGACTCCTTAAATGTTAATAAAAGTGTTGAGTGTAAATAAGAAGGTGGAACAGAAGCTCAGCTTACAGGACAAATGTTTATTATCAGTATATAAAAAAATCATAGGGTTTAAAACATGCAGATGAGTTCAGTCACTCGCAGCTTAACAGAGACCTTTAACCTCAACTTAAAAGATTCAGTTCAACAGACTGTTTCTCACCGCGCGACTAGTAATAATAATAATAATAATAATAATGATGATATTTTGGTAACTCATGTGACCACTGAGGCATGTTGTCACACCAAACACCAGTGAAATCAAATCTGTGTTAATGCCACTAATTCAACCCTGTGTTAGATGGGAACTCCACCAATTTTCAAAATTTCTGCTTAATAAAATGGATAAGATATGAACAGAGCAGTTCAGAGTGGTTTGGTGTGAAATGATCCGTTCTAGATAAACTTACAGAGTCAGAACTGTCCACAGTGGTGGTGATAGGAACCAGACGTCCACCTCTAAAAGCTCCCTCACAGAAAGTTACTACATGAAATGGTTATGAATTCACTGCCTGATGACTGAGACACTGTTTTATGATAGTTTAGAGAACTTAAACTCCATTCATGGTGGAGGGATACATGCAGGGCGCTGTGAGGCAAAATAGTCCCCAAAGAAAACTTATTATTTCAGATTTTCCACTATTTTCCATCATCAACATTCATATAAACTCAGAAGACTCGTGTAGGTTCACTGGTGGTTCTGGATAGTAAATAAAATGTCTATATTTGTGTTGTAGTCATGGCGACCCCTGGTTCCTATCACCACCACTGTAAAGACATCTGAACCATTTCACACCAAACCGCTCTGAATCTCTCTAAGTACATCTCACACACTGAACTACGGAGAAATCCCACCCCAACACCACCGAACACTGTATACCCTCACCTGATGCCCCACATACAACTACAAAAACCATTATATAAAAGGCAGAACATACGTCTGTGCACACACACATATCTGCAGCATTAATCCTGACTGAAGGAGCTTCGCCATGATGTAACATCATCCTCAACACTTCTCTCTGATCAGCCCAGCAAAAGTTTGGGCTTTGAGCTTTGTTCTCTTTTCAAATGTAATGTTTGATTTCCAAAACTACTTTTAATGTAAAAGACCATATTGAAGCTTTTTTTTTCCCCAAAAAGGGTTTAAACAGCTAAAGCGTTGAGCACGGATGAGAAAATGGGCGTGGCCTTTGGCTTTATTCCCAAAGTAGGACAGTTATCAGCTGTTCCTTTAGTTTTACAGGCCTTATGTAATGGTTTATATAATACTGAGATAAAAACAGCTCTGTTTAATATGATGGTCAGTTACTGCAAAGAAAACGTGATCATTTCTACTAAAACCATTTTTAAAAGCTAGGTGTCCCCAGACTTTTGACACGCTGTGTATACGGTTGTGTGCAAAAGTTTGGGCGCCCCGGTCAGTGGACAATTACTGTTTATTTGCTGAATTTAACAAATTGGAAAAATGCAAACATAAAATGTGGCCTGTGCAAAAGTTTAATTTTTATTCCAGTGTGTTAAATTCAGTAAATAAACAGTAACTGTGTACTACACTGTGCAGAAGTGTGTCTCTGTAAAGGATGTGCAAGTTATTTACACTTAGACAATCAATAAAACGTCATTTGCTTAAACGTACGGCTGAGTGTGAATCTGCTCTGGGGAACAGCTGTGAGCTCAGAGTGTGTTTTTCCCTTTAGCATCCATTCCCTGCTGGAGCGAGTGATGATGTTCAGGATGTGTTGATGGAGCTGGAGGTGTTGATCCCGTCTTCCTCTCCTCCGTCCTCTGCCTCGTTCACCAGCGGCTCCGTGTCCGTCTGCACCTCTGCGTTCTGCACCGCTGATCGCTTCGTCGTCCTGTTCAGAGTTCCTCCCTGCACACAGACACACAGCACTGACGTTAGATCGGTCAGCACAGCAGCGCAGCTTCAGTACCGGAGACGGGGTCGTGTAGCAGGACTGGCGCTTTATTAGATTTTACCAGAAAATATTACTACAGTATATTTATCTAAATCATTCTGTATCATTAATTATTAGGGGTGGAACAAAAAACGCTATAATATTGCAATATTCTGGGTTTAAAAAACATCAACACAGCAGCCCAAGTTTTGATATTTTATTATTTAATTATTAGCATCTTTAACCTGTATGAAGCTCACTGTTATCCTGTGTTCACAGGATGACCAATGACATGTTGTTGTTGATTTTCTCAGTGAAAATAAGTGAACAAATCCTTTACAGAGACACTAAATATGGCATTTGTCTGCTAATTTTAGAGCACAATTTCTGTTTATTTGCTGAGTTCAGAAAATACTGAAATACTAACATACTGTGAGGAATAAAACATAAAATATAAAGTGTCATAACTTTTGCACAGCACATATCTTATGTTAAATTCAGCAAATAAACAGTAAAGATTTGGAAATGAATGCCGGCTTGATTTTCTGTGCTGTACAGATGCATTAAAAAAAATCAGGCTGACCAATCAGAGCTCCGCTATCTTGGCTGCTGCTCAAACAAATGTGCATCGAGATGGCAGCAGAACAGCTCAGCGTGATCGCAGCACAGCACAAAAGCGACAAGCAAATGCTGTCTATAAGCATGTGGAGGGTAAAGAGAATGTATGGCAGAGCAGAGCTGGAGGGCTGAGATGCATCCTAGTCTGTTCACATCCACGAAGATCTGCAAGCTATCAGATTCTTTCGCCAATGAACGCTCGTTTCTTTATGTTTTTTTTGTAGTTGGTTATGTTAAAACATATTTATCAGAAAGAGGAGACGGTCAACGTCTCCCTGCCATTTATTCGCTCCTTTTTAATTAGAACAGCAGTAAGCAGAGCCCCGAATTCCCCCACCGATGTCTGAAAATACCTTCAGAATGGCTCATTATGCAGCTTCAGCTCCTGCATGAGGAACTGAATCTCCCTGTGTGGGTGTCTTTACTGTAGACTGGGGTGAACCCAGTGTATCGTTTAGACGCAGTGTGTAAAAGAAAAACTCAAGGAGCTCATTTCTTCTTCCTCTACACTCTTAAAAAAGATGGTTCTTTAATGGCTCTTCAATAGTAAAGATAATGGTTTTATATATATATATATATATATATATATATATATATATATATATATATATATATATATTTGCATCATGAAAAGATTCTATATAAGGTTCCTTATAGCACCAAAAAGGGTTCTGCTATTGTTACAAACCCTTTGGGTGCTATATAGAACCATTTTCTTTACCAAAGAACCCTTGAAGAACCATCTTTTTTTAGAGTGTATAGAACCACTGTCTTTACTAAAGAACCATCTTTTGTAAAAGCACCTTCTTCCTGTTACTTTCAGAGTGTTTTGGTCAAGGGTCAGCAACACATGGCTCTTTTACTGCCCTGTTGTGGCTCCACAGCTGAATCAGATTTGTAGGTAATAATAAAATAATCCTCCTTTACAGTAAAATAAAGCTCTGCTGATCGTTCAACACAGTTTAACAGTAAATGGTCTTAAACTCTGGAGTTAATGTAGAACTGCTGATTCACCCTTTAACCCTGAAGATCAGCGCAGACTGCTGGTCACCATAGCAACACAGACAACAGTCTCGCCTAGCTAGTAGCTAACAAAACGGCAAAGAGAGAGATTTAAGATGAACATCGATAATTTGGAAACCGAATGCGTTTATAATCACTCCAGGTGGTTTCCTGATACGTTTAATCTGCAGTGACAAACTGTCAAACACTAAAAAGTTGCGAAGCTGAAGTCAGTTTCTTGTTTGAATTGTCCCGTTCCACCTTAAATGGTGCAGCAGTTACATTCTGGCACCTCAGGCACCATTTAAGGTGGAATGGGAAAATTCAAACAAGAAGCTGGTGAATGAGAAGTGACTTCAGCCTTGTAAAAAGTCGAACGTTGAGAGACATTTTACAAGAAACTGTTCTACTTTTGCGGAAAAGTTTCCTGCCAGAGATGCGAGAAAAGCAGCTGTAGCTGAGCTGAAGCTTAAAGCAGAGCAAAGTAAGTCTGAGTTTTCGTTTATATTTTTATCCTATACTAGCACATCAGCACATACTGAGACATCTTTACAGCCAAGATAGTAAAATGGATATAAAATGTTGTGGCTCCCAAGGTGATTTGATTTTTGTTGAAAGGACAAAATGGCTGATCTTAACATTTGTGTTGTGACCCCTGGTTTAGACAAAAACATGCAGCAAACTTCACGTGAAAGTCCCATTGCAAATCCAAAAAAGGTGCATTAAAATGTGTGTCCCTGTAGAGGAAGTGTTGACTTATTTTCACTTAGGAAAATAAAAAAAAAAACATGAAATTTGACCAAATCTTCCCACATGACTGTACTGTCTGGGACTGTCAGTGCTACCCCATTACTTCATTAATTAAACGACGACACTATTGAAAAGCTATTTAATTTGGAAAATAGAGATGATACAACTGAGAAATGGAGCCAAACGAACAGCTCTGCTACTCAGCGACGTTACTGCCCATCCCTGTGTATGAGTACCTGTCTGTGATCCACTATGTTCAGTACGGCTGAGGTGATGATGCAGCTGATTGTATTCGCCAGCATGAAGATCATCATCCGCTGCCAGCGCCACAGAGGAATCTTAACATCACTGCAACACACAAGCACACAGACTGTAATACACTACAGGAAGTGTAGGGGGCGATATGGCTTCTACTGTTTCATTTAAAAAGCTCTATAATGTTCATATGATCCACACAGTCACTCTGACAGACTGTAATACACTACAGGAAGCGTAGGGGGCGATATGGCTTCTACTGTTTCATTTAAAAAGCTCTATAATGTTCATATGATCCACACAGTCACTCTGACAGACTGTAATACACTACAGGAAGTGTAGGGGGCGATATGGCTTCTACTGTTTCATTTAAAAAGCCTCTATAATGTTCATATGATCCAATTCTAGTAATCACTACCTGTAAGACTCATCAGTTGCAGTCCTGGCTGTAGGTGAGTGGGTGTTACCTGTTCTTGGTGCCCAGGATCTGCCCCACAATCAGGTTAGAGATCCCGATGCCGATCATCTGCACTGAAGTGGCCAAACCCATTGCAGTGCCCAGAGTGGCCTGAGGGACCACCAGGGGGATGGAGGGCCACATACTCGCCTACAACAAACATTCACACACATATAAAGGCTGACTGTTATAACCACTACCGTTCTACTGAAATCAGACTATTCATAATCCTGTCATTACTGTTATTTTATTTTATTCAGTAATAATTAATATAACACTGTAAAACAGGGGTGTCCAAACTTTTTTAAAGAGGGCCAAATCATGTCAGAATATCTGAGGACCGAAATATTATTTACAAATTATTCACAATATTAAGTTTGAAAAATATCCGTGCACAGACTCTGTGTTTCCTATCACTGTATAAAAGATGCACGAGGCTTCTTTTATTGTTGGACTGGATTTGGATCAGTAAGCACTCATAACATACATACATACATACATCATCTAAACCGCTTATCCTTCTGGGTCGCGGTGGGGTGCTGGAGCCTATCCCAGCTGTCATTGGGCGGAAGGCAGGATACACCCTGGACAGGTCGCCAGTCCATCGCAGGGCAGACAGACAGACATACACAGTCACACACACACTTAGGGGCAATTCAGCCTGTCCAATCAGCCTGACTGCATGTTTTTGGACTGTGGGAGGAAACCGGAGTACCCGGAGGAAACCCACGCAGACACGGGGAGAACAGGCAAACTCCACACCCTGGTCGCCCGGCTGGGAACCAAACCCAGGCCATTCTCGCTGTGAGGCGACAGCGCTACCCACTGCGCCACCGTGCCCTCGCGCTCATAACAAATTACTAAATTATTTAGGAGTAACAGTAAAACATGGCTAATATATAAACGATTTTCCTATTAGTGTTTATTTATTCAACGATATAATTTGTAAGACAAACTAGATAAAAATCTATACCTTAACAGTTTTGTTAGATCACTATCTTTACATATTACATTATCATTTTTTTAATCCTAATCTAACTTTTAGTTTTTAATTTAATTATTTAACTAACCTAATTTAATTTTCTAATTTGATTTGATTAATTTAATGATTTTCTCTTTCAAATGTATTGTTTTCACCATGTTTTAATTATGTTTTTAATTATGTTTTTCTATTTGTGTTTACTTGTTCAAACAACTCTGACTCTGAATTTTCTCATTTGTAAAGCACGTTGAATGGCAGCAGTGTTTAAAAGGTGCTATATAAATAAACTTGCCTTGCCATTTCATAAATGCAGTGACCCTGGGGCTGCACTTTGCTTTGGACACCCCTGCTGTAAAAATTGCATAGAAAAGCCACTAGTGGGCGCTGTGGGCAGCACTGAAAGCCTAAGATGCAGTGAAGAGAGAACAGATTTTTTCTGCTAAACATAAAAACTTTCAGCTAAACGAAAAAGTGCTTTATTAGTGTGAGATACGATGAGATTAAGCCAATTCCACTGTGAGGAGCGTAAAACTATACTGAAAACTGTCGGACTTGTAAGCCAGACTGGAGATTTTGATATGCAAAATGATCACTCACAGAACGTGCGCATGATGTTTACGCAACCAAAACAAACTCGTATGTGTACCATGTGTGGAATACTGGTACACAAACACACAAGGACATCTTGTTTTTATGCTAATTCTGGCTTCAAACAATTCATTTTAATAGTTCACAGTAAGTCGTACTGCGTCCTGAACCACATCGACAAGCCTGCACGACCGTACTGAAGATCCAGATGTGGTTTGTCAGGAGTTTCGGGGATGTTTTTACAGAAGCGATTTGGGTGACTATAGATTTCTAGTGTTCATCACATTAGATTAACACTTTTCTTTAGAATCTTAGTCCCACCATATTACACACTGCAAAAAACAACACGTCAAAAAAGAGTTCGATAAATGCTCAAGTTCATTTCTGAACTTCACGTACTGGTATTGGCGAACTCTTCATAAACGTGCTGAAAGACACAAGCTGTAGCGTCGGCTGAGGTGAGGTTAGATGAGGAGACGAACACCATTAGTAATCGCCTGTTTATCTAAAAGAGCTTTTCTTTGTGTAAATTTCAGGCCACATATCATCTACTGTGTCTTTCTGCATGACTGCAGTCATTAATACAGTAATGAATGCTGCAGTGGTAAAAGTGCTGTGGGACAGTGCTGGGAGTGACCAAGTGCTGCTGCACGCCGACACAGAATGTCATGAAATGGCTGAATTTTCCGAAGCATCCAGTGTGTGGAGGCCTTGGGAGTGTGAGTGTGTGAGTGTGTGTGTGTGTGTGTGTGTGGGTGTGGGTGTGTGTGAGTGTGTGTGTGTGTGTGTGGGTGTGTGTGGGTGTGTGTGTGTGTCTGAGACTCACAGCTGCGAATGAGTAGGTGATTCCGAGCCAGATGGTGCAGACGAGCGGAGGAACGAAGGTGAAGGCCAACAGCCCGAATACCGGCAACGTCAACACTGCACACAGCACAGCGAACACACCACGCAGACCCACGTAATCCTACAACACACACAAACACACATAAACACAGAAGCAATCATGCACATCTGACCCCACCATACAACATTATCATTACATTAAGCCACACTAGGACTGTACTGAGATCTTTAGAGATCTGTCATACTCCATGTGTTCCAATGTGACATATGGTGATGGATTCATTCAGCTGCCGATCGTTCCTCTAAAAGAAAACTGTTTCAGTTTAAACTTTGTTCTCCTCACTTCAGTCTTTTTACTGAAGTGAAACAGGACAGTGAAGCAGACAAATCAGCATTCAAATAAACCCTGACCTCACATTTACATATTTAACAGATGATTTTATTTATGAAATACACAAGCAACATTTACAACAGCTTTCATCCTTACACGTTTAAACCCTGGCCTAACCTGAAACAGCACCATCTTGTGGATTAAAGCAGAAACAATGAGAAAAGCAGAACTATTATGCACACCGATCAGGCATAACATTACGATTCTTTGTTTCTACACTCATTGTCCATTTTATCACCTCCACTTACTGTATAGGTGCACTTTGTAGTGCACTCCAGCAGCACTGCTGTGTCTGATCCACTCACACCAGCACAACACACACTAACACACCACCACCACCACGTCAGTATTACTCATCCACCACCCAAACAGTACCTGCTCTGTGAGGGTCCATGGGGGTCCTGACCACTGAAGAACAGGGTAAAAGGGGGCTAACAAAGTATCAGAGAAACAGATGGACTACAGTCTGTAACTGTAGAACTACAGAGCGAAACTATATGGCCAGTGGAGCTGATACAGTGGACAATGAAACAAGGAGGTGGTGATGTTACGCCTGATCGCACATAATGCTGTATCACAATATCGTAATGCATACACTACATATAATTTTACATATAATATTGCGTCACAATATTATGTGTAGGTTAAAATCGTTGAACAACTCATTTTAAAGCAGTTTGTGTTGATACTCACGATGAGGATCCCGACAGCAGCAGACAACACCAGAGAACTGTCGTATACAGCACCAGCGATGTAGGCAGCTTCCTTCTGACCGTAGCCTGAATATTTATCCTGGATAAACTTACTGCACACACACACACACACACACAAACACACAAACACACAAACACACACACACACACACACACGCACACACACACACACACACACACAGACACACACACAGACACAAACAGACACAAACAGACACACACACACACACAGACACACACACAGACACAAACACACACAGACACAAACAGACACAGACACAAACAGACACACACACACACACACACAGACACACACACACACACACACAGACACACACACAGACATAGTGCTTATCGTAAAGGCAATACATGCTTTAGCACCCATACTAAAAGTGTAAACGCGTTTTAGTTCTTGTACTAAAAGCATAAACGTGTTTTAGCTCTTATACTAAAAGCGTAAACGTGTTTTAGCTCTTGTACTAAAAGCGTAAACGTGTTTTAGCTCTTATACTAAAAGCATAAACGTGTTTTAGCTCTTATACTAAAAGCGTAAACGTGTTTTAGCTCTTGTACTAAAAGCGTAAACGTGTTTTAGCTCTTGTACTAAAAGTGTAAACGTGTTTTAGCTCTTATACTAAAAGCATAAACGTGTTTTAGCTCTTATACTAAAAGCGTAAACGTGTTTTAGCTCTTATACTAAAAGCGTAAACGTGTTTTAGCTCTTGTACTAAAAGCGTAAACGTGTTTTAGCTCTTGTACTAAAAGCGTAAACGTGTTTGGCACTAATAATAGAAAGTGTAAACGTGTTTTAGCTCTTATACTAAAAGCGTAAACGTGTTTTAGCTCTTATACTAAAAGCGTAAACGTGTTTTAGCTCTTATACTAAAAGCGTAAACGTGTTTTAGCTCTTATACTAAAAGCGTAAACGTGTTTTAGCTCTTGTACTAAAAGCGTAAACGTGTTTTAGCTCTTGTACTAAAAGCGTAAACGTGTTTGGCACTAATAATAGAAAGTGTAAACGTGTTTTAGCTCTTATACTAAAAGCGTAAACGTGTTTTAGCTCTTGTACTAAAAGCGTAAACGTGTTTGGCACTAATAATAAAAGTGTAAACGTGTTTTAGCTCTTATACTAAAAGCGTAAACGTGTTTTAGCTCTTGTACTAAAAGCGTAAACGTGTTTTAGCTCTTGTACTAAAAGCGTAAACGTGTTTGGCACTAATAATAAAAGTGTAAACGTGTTTTAGCATCTGTATTAAAAGCGTAAATTTGTTTTAGCACCTGTACTAAAAGCACAGCCATGTTTTAGTTCCCTGCGCTAAAAGTGCAAGTGTGGTTTAATACATACTACAACTGTAAATGTGTTTTATTACCTGGCGTCAGCAATGAACGGGAAGATTCCATTGTAGAAGAACATGATGGTGAGGACCAGCAACCAGTAACGGCTAGAAAGCAACCGGATATCCTGCACCCTCTGTAAACAAACAAACAAACAAAAACAAAAAATAAACACTATCATCATGTTTCCTCTGCAAAACATACAACTCACAATATTTTAAACATCTGTGCAGCATGATCCTCATAAATAAGGGCTGAGCTGTGTCAGCTGCACAAACACACCCACACACAGTGCTGACAGTGATAAATATACATTCACTATACATTTATATTCACTGTTTACTTTTAAAAATTCATATTCTTCAGCTTAAAATAGTGCGTATGTTTACACGTTTTATAATTGTTTAACACATTCAGGATTTTTAATGTATTTATATATTTATATTGTTCTTACCAGAACTTATGGGGACACATGGACTGAGAAAAGGCTTTTCTTTGGCAAATAAAAGATTATGATTATAATTTTCCTTAAGCATTTTTTTCTACTTCATCTCTCCCTCTCTCCCTCTCTCACCACTTTGCGGGATTCCTCCTGAATGGTTCCGTCCAGTCCCAGCTGTTTCATTCCCATCTTATCCAGCACACTGACCGTTATAGCAGAGAGGAAACCCAGCACACACAGCAACGTACCTACAGAAACACACAGACACTGTTATAGTGGAGAACAAACACAGGACGCACAGCAACACACATACACAAAACCTACATGTGTGCTCTATAGCCATTAAGTACAAGTTCATTTTTCAGGAGGTGTTTCTGATTAGCAGATTAGATATTAGATAATCCACTCACACAAGGAAGTGATAAAACAGGAGTTTCCAAAACTGCAGTTCAGAAACTGATTAAAGTCTACAGAGAAAATGTGTCTCCTAACAACCACCTGGAAGACCTGGTTGACCCCAAAACTGCCCCCATCAGATAAACAGCACTTAAAGCTTTCATCTCTGAGAGAGAGGAGAAAATCAAGCTGCTTCAGATCTGAAAACATCCACAGGTGTTTCTGTCCATCCTTCCACTGTGAGAAGACGACTCAGCGCTGTGGGTCTGAAAGGATGTGTAGCTGATCAAGAAGAACCTCACTGAGAAAAGGAGACGGACACATCAAACAAAGAAGCTGAACGATGGACTGACCACCCCAGAGTCCAGACCTCAACGCCACTGAATGTGTTTGATTACTTCAGAAAATGATCAACCAGCTTCTAAGACTGAACTTTGGAGGTGTGTCTGCAGATTCTTTGAGGAGCTGAAAGTGAGTCTCCTGAACAGAATGGAAGCTGGAATAAAGGGGAAGAGTGACTCACTGACTCACACAGCTGAGATTAGTTTTAGACAGTAAGGCTTCTGTGTAGTTTCATGTTAGATGTATGCTTTTTTTCCTGATACTGAAAAAATAATAACTTGTACTCAGCGGCCAAATGGACACAAAATAAATGAAGAGTCGTCTCAGACTTCTGCCCAGTACTTCTGCCCAGTACTGTGACTTTCTGGCTGGTTTTGTTAAACAATTAATAAATAAAACCAGTTTAAGGTTCTTAATTAGGTTAAGATTCAGACTAGTAGGTTACATTATCATCAGCGTTAAAACCAAGTATACTAAACAAAATCACGTTTGTTTGGCCTCACCTCCCCACAGCGTCCACTGCATGCCGTAGTGCGACTCGAACCGCTGTGTGAGGAAGAAGTTGAGCACTGAGCCGAGCCGGGAGAAGGCCAGAGTCAGACCGAACGCCAGAGCCAGCTCTTTACCCTTAAACCAGAATGCTGTGATACGGTTCTGAACAACTGAGAGAGAGAGAGAGAGAGAGAGAGAGAGAGAGAGAGAGAGATAGAGAGAGAGAGAGAGGTACATTTGCTTTACAATGTACTTCACAGACTGCTGTCAGTTTGTCAGTGTAAACGGGGAGTTTTCAGAACCTGTTAGAGTTCAGTATGATGTCCCTCAAGGCTCTGTTTTAGGTCCATTACTGTTCTTTTAAGCAGAGCCACAAAGGCACGTCATTCATAAATAATGTTCCAGATTAATCCAGACTAACACAGTTGTTTGTTTGGTGCGTCAAATTCATATCATTTGGCAGAGTGTTCTCTTATTTCAGTCATCTTTATTTTTCATGTAAACCATATCGTTTTGCTAACCCTGCTATGTAAGGCATTTTGGGATTTTCTCGCTAAAAGAAATTACTATTCTTTGTTCATTCATTTTATTGGCGTTGTAAGAGTGTTTTTAGGCATTTTGCAGGCATTTCTGCCGTTGTGTAGTTGTGCAGGCATGTGGCCATTTTGTGGATGTTTTGGGTGCAGTGTTATGATGGACCAGATCTGCCAAAATTGAAAATAAAATTAAAAATAAACGACTCAGTAAATTAATATATGAATTAGAATTGCAAAGAATAACGATGATAAATCATAAATCTAAAAAATGAATAAATATATATATTAATAAATAAAACTTTACATAAATTATGTTTGCATTTACTTACATGTCTATTTGGTAATTTCCACTCCTTACTAATTTTTGTATTTATTTATTTATGTTTTCATTTTTTCATTTTTATGTATTTATTTCCATTACTATTCATTTCTATATTTATTTATTTCCCTTTTTAGTTTTTTCTGCATTTCCTTGTACTTATGATAATAAAGGGGCTGTCAATCAATGACAGAGTCTTAATATTCCGATTGGTTGATCGATATCAGATTCTGTAGACTGATTGTTCATGTCTTGCTCTCTCAGTGGTAACTGAGGACCAGACAATACAGTAATGGCTGCTTACAGACAGTCAGAGATCTGAGAGTCTCGGCTGATCTGGCTGAAAATGCAGGTCTGGATTATTTACTCTTCTGTTGGAGGCTGTGGGGACAGTTTGGTCCAGTTTGCTGACCCTGTAGTGTTCAGAACTTTGGAGGAGGTGGTTCATCGTCTTTTCCTGCCAAGTTCAGATCACACAGACATTCAGACCAGTTGTATTTTGGCAGATATGGTCCTGCATGCACTCTGGGTGTTTTTTGGGCATTACAGGGCTCCAAATGTTTTGGGAATCGCGTGGGTGGGTTTTCGGGGCACCTCCTGGGTGTTTCGGGGCACTAGATAAGAATTCTGAAGGTGTATCTTGGGCACTGCGTGGTCCTTGTCTGAGAGGTGCTGTGTGCTCTGGGGAGAGGTTGCTGGTGTTTTTGGATGTCGCGTTTGTGCCGTACTGGTAAGTGATCCGTTTCCAGAGCCGAACAGAAGCCGTCCGGTCAGCATGAGGGGCAGCAGGTACTCCGTTCCTTTAAAATGAGAACCGAGAGCAAAGATGGCCGATCCCAGCACGGTCAGGAAGGAGAACAGGAACACGCCGACTGCAGGAGAGACACACAGACAGGAACACATACAGGGCGATCAGAGACGTCTCACAGGTTACTGACGTCTAAAACAGAAAATGTCCCGTTCTCTCACACAAACACTTACAGCGGTTCCCGAGTTTGTCGATGAGGAATCCTGCCATGATCACCACGGCGGCGTTTCTGTGAGGAAACAACACATCTTCCTTAATAAACCACAGCTGGACGCTGTGTATGTGTATATATAGCTCTACGGCTGCGTACCATTAAATACGTTCAATATCAGTACAAATACAGATACTTGACTTCAGTACAGATTCCTGAACGATACGTTTTCAAAACCTTTATCCGAAGGTGGGTGTGGCTTAAAGTAAAAAAGAGGGCTCTGCGACAAGACAGCAGCGTTGACATGTTAAAGCGATAAGATGTAAGAGCCCGCGTGATTTTACCGTGTTAAAGGCTCGTGCTGGGCACGCGACGCAATTTTCAACTCTGAATGAATGAAAATTCACCACTGATGCGGATTTTCGCCGGGTGGAGCTCAGTGAGGAGCACAGCCGAAAACGGAACCCACCGCGCCAGACACGCAGGGTCATTTTTCCAATTTTGCGTGATGCGCTTCGGCCAGTCGTTTCCGTGCGGCCAATAGGAGAGCAGCAGGTGGGTCTGGTAGCTCCTCTCGCCACCTGAAAGGTCAGGTTTATCAGAGAACGCCGCCCACTTTGCGAGCGCTGCGTTTGTGCCATACTGGTGTGAAAGGGGTCTGAGTTCTAGTGGAGTTCTGGTCTGAGATCTCAAAGGACCAGAAAGAAAACCGAGTCCTCTTTATAGGTCACTTAGACTGTGAACACAAAAAGAACTGAGGTCATTTGCAGTTGGTTCCCTTTCGGGTTCACTTTAGCAGAACTCAGTTCGGTTCTTTTAAAATGAAAGCAGTGTGAGAGACGTTCTGTGTGTCTGGGTGTGTAAAACGTGTCTGGGTGTCAGACTCACGTCCACGCGTAGATGGCGTACAGCAGGTTGTACTCCTGTGGGCTCATTCCCAGCCCCTCCACACATTCCGACCCATTACTGCTGCCGGAACTCACCGTCGAGTTCGGACACGTCAGGTTCTACGTGCAAGAAACACAGTCAGAGCGTTACTCTCTGGAACATTACTCTCTATAGGAACTGGAGCTCTTATGGGAATGTTTAGCTCTAGTGTAGTTCTGTGATTCCTTACCCCTTGGAACTGCTCTTGGAGCACACTGGGAATGTCGAAGCAGAAGTAGGAGCCGAATGTGAGCATGCAGTTAAAAAACAGCACCAGGAAACGGTAACAGGCTGCAGAGAGGAGGAGACGTTAAACAGCAACCTACAACAGTTCAGATGGAACTGTAATTCAACAACAACCTCATTTCCTTTAGAAATTCAAAACCAACAGGACGGGATTAACACCACACACACCACACCCCGCACCACACACCACACACACACACCTAACACCCCACACACACCTAACACACCACACACACCTAACACCCCACACCTAACACACCACACACACACACCTAACACCCCACACACACCTAACACACCACACACACCTAACACCCCACACCTAACACACACCCAACAACCCACACACTCCACACACCCCCCATACACCTAACACACCACACACAGCACACCCCACACACCACACACACCCAACAACCCACACACACCACGCACACCTAACACACCACACACACCCCACACCCCCCCCACACCACACACACACACCTAACACCCCACACACACCTAACACCCCACACACACACCACACACCTAATACACCACACACACCCCCATACACCTAACACCCCACACACACCTAACACACCACACACACCTAACACCCCACACACACACCACACACCTAACACACCACACACACACCCCATACACCTAACACACCACACACAGCACACACCTAACACCCCACACACCACACACACCCAACAACCCACACACTCCACACACCACACACACCATGCACACCTAACACACCACACACACCCCACACCCCCCCCACACCACACACACACCTAACACCCCACACACACCTAACACCCCACACACACACCACACACCTAATACACCACACACACCCCCCATACACCTAACACACCACACACCCCACAAACCTCTAACACACCACACCCCCCACACACACACACAACACACACAACACACACCACACTCCACAAACACCCCACACACCTCACACACCCCATACACCTAACACACACCACACCCCACACACACCCCACACCACACAACCCACACACCACACCCCTAACACACCACACACACACCTAACACACCCCACACACACACACCACCCCTAACACACCCCACACACACACACACCACACCCCCCACACCCAACAACCCACACACTCCACACACCACACCCCTAACACACCCCACACACACCTAACACAGCACACACACACCCCACCCCTCACACACCCCACTCACAACTCTAACACACCCCCACACACACACAACACACACACCCCACAAACCTCACACACACCCACCTCACACACCTAACACACCACAAACACCCCACACTCCACACACACACTCCACATACCCCACACACACCCCACACACCTATGATGGCATTTTTGAGCCACTGTTAATAAAAATAAAAATAGTAGACTTTGAGAATAAAGTCATAACATTTCGAGAATAAACACGTGTACACACTCCACAAAAAAAACAAAACTACCTGGTCCAGCTACTTTCTTAATACAGAAGCGACAGGAGGGTAAAAGCTGGGTATTAATATAGTAATTCATATCACAATTAACCTAACCTTAATTAACACGGGTCTGACCGCTTTGGCAAAACTGTAAATTAACGTTAATACGATGGCATTAACGACAAAGACTCAGAGAGAGAGAGAGAGAGAGAGAGAGGTTCAGCTTTACTTCCAGATTTCAGCTCTACAGTAAACATAGGTTAACTCAGATCCGCAGCTCCGGGCTGGTGACCGCACTGCTAACCCGGCTAACACGAAGCTCCTTTGTTTTGAACCCGGATAAAGCCTGGGATAAAGCCTGGGAGCCGTAGTTTACCTCTCTCCGCCGGTTTGGTCATGTCTGTGCTGGGCCTGTAAGTCTGTGTAAACTCTGCTCCGCTTTACGGCTCCATTTATCTGCCTGTGTGTTTTTAGCACCGCTAGCTCACTGCAGGGCAGCGCCGCTGATATCTGACCTACAAACGGCCCGGATCGACCGTCACATCAGCCCGCCGCCGTCAACGGTCGGTCCGCGCAGTGTACGGATCGAATGTTCCGCGCAGCTGCCCGTCACATGATTGGCCGCTCACGTGGTTGTTTTAGTCAGCGCTGACTCAGCATTGAGCGCTGATTGGGCAATAGCGCTCCGCGGCGGTTCAGCAGAGGATCAGATGAACTATGACCAGTTTAAACTTACTGAGGCGGAATATGGACACATGCAGCGAGTTTAACAGCAGATAAACAAACAGGAGCGTCTTCTGTCGGCATAAATGAACCAATACGCGGCCCAGTACTCAGAAACGAACACGAAAACGACGCCTTTTGGACTTTGGCTTTGTTGTTCTGAGATTTGGACTCACGCACCGTTGGGTTCTCCAGTTAAGGCCGCAGACTAGGGTAGAAAAGTTCTCCTGAACATCACAGACAGAGCTGTGAACACAGGAACCAGCTGTAAATGGCACAAAAGCAGATTTCAAATATTAAAACTGAAAACGCTGCTGAAAAAAAACAGACCTTCAATGCCATCCATGCTGAGCTAAGCAGGTTTATGCTGATCTAGTGCTGGTTTAGCTGGCCACCCAGTATGGTCATGCTGGTTGACCAGCATACCAGCATCCAAACCACAACAATATCACTGCTGTCGGAAGAAAATCTTGTATATCCATTTTTGATGGTTTTCAGTTTTTGACATAATTTGAAAATGCCTGTTGTTCTTTACATTGTGTGTAAATTTCATGATGATTGGACTAAAAGAAATGACCCAAAATGACTTGGAACAAAGTCTGGTTCTATTGACTTACATTAAAGTTAAAGTAGATTTTTTCCTTCTCCTGTAAAGTTATTATTTTAGAGATAAGAGGTTTTCTTCTGACAGCAGAGATATGCTGGTTTTGTTGGTGACCAGCCGTGCTGGTCTATGCTGGGTTTTGTAGCAGGGAATATATGTTTACATTGTTCATAAACAATCAAAGTCTGCATGTGTACTCATAATAAACGGTAGAGGGGCTGTATTTGGAAAACGATGTACCTGAAATGTGTAACGTTTCCAAAACAGTGCAGTTAAACCATCAATGTGATGCAGACACAAAATGTCCTCATGGTCACTTTAATGTATCTGTCTCATAGCCTAGCCAGTCCTGACCTGTACATTCCTGTCTTTCCTGCTCTCACATCCTCTTTCTACTCATTAGGGTGATCATCAAACCCTTCGTGAGCAGAGTCAGGCATGTTAGAGCAGAGCCTGTGGTCACTGTAGGGTCAGCAGTAAGCCTCAGCGCTGCTTCATTACTGTAGCTCATACTCCAGTGTTTTTCATTCAGCGCAGTGACTTTTTCATGTCGTTCTTTCTGTTTTTGTTCTCCGAGGCTGAGTGGAGGCAGAACGTACCAGCGTTTGATCTGGGCTCCTCTGAAGGCTTCAGTAATGCAATTTACTCTTAATCAGGTCTTCTAAAGGTGCAGTGTGTAAGATTTAGTGGCATCTAATTGCAACACATGAATCCCCCCCCTTTTGTTTTTCATAATAAACTATAATGTAAAATCAAAAGTGATGTAGTTAGGTAGTGTAATTAATAATAACAGGTTGATTATAACAGAGTTGACTGTAACAGGGCTGATTATAACAGGGTTGACTGTAATGGGGTTGATTATAACAGGGTTGACTGTAATGGGGTTGATTATAACAGAGCTGACTGTAATGGGGTTGATTATAACAGGGTTGACTGCAATGGGGTTGATTATAACAGAGCTGACTGTAATGGGGTTGATTATAACAGGGTTGACTGCAATGGGGTTGATTATAACAGAGCTGACTGTAATGGGGTTGATTATAACAGAGCTGACTGTAATGGGGTTGATTATAACAGAGCTGACTGTAACAGGGCTGATTATAACAGGGTTGACTGTAATGGGGTTGATTATAACAGAACTGACTGTAATTGGGTTGATTATAACAGCTGACTGTAACAGGGCTGATTATAACAAGGTTGACTGTAATGGGGTTGATTATAACAGGGTTGACTGCAATGGGGTTGATTATAACAGAGCTGACTGTAATGGGGTTGATTATAACAGAGCTGACTGTAATGGGGTTGATTATAACAGGGTTGACTGCAATGGGGTTGATTATAACAGAGCTGACTGTAATGGGGTTGATTATAACAGAGCTGACTGTAATGGGGTTGATTATAACAGGGTTGACTGCAATGGGGTTGATTATAACAGAGCTGACTGTAATTGGGTTGATTATAACAGAGCTGACTGTAACAGGGCTGATTATAACAGGGTTGACTGTAATGGGGTTGATTATAACAGGGTTGACTGTAATGGGGTGATTATAACAGAGCTGACTGTAATGGGGTTGATTATAACAGAGCTGACTGTAACAGGGTTGATTATAACAGAGCTGACTGTAATGGGGTTGATTATAACAGGGTTGACTGCAATGGGGTTGATTATAACAGAGCTGACTGTAATGGGGTTGATTATAACAGAGCTGACTGTAATGGGGTTGATTATAACAGAGCTGACTGTAATGGGGTTGATTATAACAGAGCTGACTGTAATGGGGTTGATTATAACAGAGCTGACTGTAATGGGGTTGATTATAACAAGGTTGACTGTAATGGGGTTGATTATAACAGAGTTAACTGTAACAGGGTTGACTGTAACAGGGTGGACTATAACAGAGTTGACTTGAACAGAGCTGACAGTAACAGTTGACAGTAACAGGATTGACTGTGATAGGTTTAAATGGAACAGAGTTCAGAATTGATTATTTGATTGTAACCTAGGTTACAGTAACAGAGTTGATTGTAACATAACAGGGTTGAGTTTAAATAAGATTCATTCACACACATCAGACTCCAGAGCACTGAAAACACGACCTGACCCTCACTGACCTTTACATCACCATTTATCAGTAATTCTGGTTGTTTAGTATATTAGATTATATTTGCACAGCAACTTAACATATTATGTTGAAATGCTTTTTTTCTCGAGATTTTGTCCAAAAATAAATACATTTTTTAAAAATCATAATTATTCGAGATGATGTCATTATTTGGTATTAATAAGTAATAATGTGGAGAACATCTGCGCTATGATTTTGAGATATTTTGCTGCTGTCAGGCAGAGAGAAATAGAAAAGTTCGGAAAGTCCTTCCAAAGTTGGGGGCGCAATATAGAATAGGGGGCTAACACTTTTTAAACACTTAACTGCTAAATCGATGCATTTATACACACATTAGACCAGCAGGTGTCGCCAGTGTGCCGCATGTTTTATTTTAGTGTACATTAGAATTACAGGACAGAGTTAAACCTTTAGAAAGTTTCCCCGTCTCATAATTATAATCCGTGAAAACGTATTTAAACATGTCATTATCTGTGTTTAAAAACAAACAGAGAGAGAACAAACAGAAACCTGCTCGTTCTGTCCATAGATATTCATACCGAGATGTCGTGTTGTCTGTTGTTCTCTATCTGAGGCGATACGTCTGCGTGTCCGCCATGTTGGAGAGGTCAAGTTCCGCTTGTGAACAGATTCACTTGTACTGAGAGACGATGAGTCTCAAGATTAAATCAGCCACAACTTCCTTATTACTCAACTGATTTTCACCAAATCTGTTTAGTTATAATCCTCAGACACAGATTAATCCATTCTGCGCAGATCTGCCCTCGGTAGCTTTTATTACTTTAATAACTGATCGTGATAATTAGCGTCCAGACCAGCAGGAAAGTATTCAGTCTGTACCTGACGTTAAAAACCGAGTTTAGCACGAGAAACACAATCAGACTCATCAGCAGATCCATCAATGTGTGAATCGCTTCTAATCTTAATACACAGAAAATACAATAAACCCCCAAAACACAGCAAGAAGGACGAAGCTGAAGTTGGCTTCCTATTCGCCAGCTAATTGTTCGAGTTTTCCCGTTCCACCTTAAATGGAGCAGCAGTCACTTTCTGGTGCCTGAAGATCACCATGTAAGGTGGAACGGGAAAATTCAAACAAGAAGCTGGCAAATAAGAAGCTGACTTCAGCTTTGTGTAAGAAGGTGCTAACGCTAATCTATTATGAATATTTACACAGATTAAGGAATGCTGTAACTTACCGCTACAAAGCTTTAACCATCACTGTAAATAAATAACTACTACATAAAGTTAAGATCCTGAATAGATGATTAAATTAAATAGCTCATAAAAACCAACCACATGACCATATCTACACAAACATCACACAAACAATACACATCACACAGACATGAGTGTGGATCACTGCGTTCCCTCTGTTATATAATCCTGTCCCACTTTCTGAGTGTGATATTCCTGAAATAGTGTAATTTTGGACTGTATCTTTCTTATGTAATGGTACTGAATGCAGTCCAGCAGCGATGTTGACCGCCCCAACATGGCGGCGCCGTTGACGTGCCTGGCTGAACCCAACGCAGCATCTAGGTATGTAGATCTGTGGTTCCAGCTCAGACCCGGCGTTATTTCCAGCTGCGCTTTGTGTCCCTCACGGCCACCGTACTTATAAAAACATGTTTTTTCCTGCAGATGGGCTGAAGTGTGTCTGATGTGCGTCCTTCCAGCCTCCGTGGTCGGAATGAGCGCGGTTACAGCGGAGAAGCTCATTTCAGGTTATTTATTAAACCATGGCCTCCTTAAAAAGAGCGAAGACCTGGGAGGTTTCGGACTCGGAGGGAGAACAAACACCGGTCGAACCAGCCGGACACAGGTGGGTGATGGGTCTACACCCACTGACACGGCGCACTCGCCTGACACCGGCTTCTTGTTCGAGCTTTCCGTTCCACCTTAAATGGCGCGGCAGTTACTGCACCGCTCGAGGCGCCAGAATGGGACCGCCGCACTATTTAAGGTGGAACGGAAAGATCGAACAAGAACGCGATTTCAGCCTCACTTCTCCAGTAAAAGTACTGAATTACTGCAGTGAAATGATGACAGTGCAGTTAAAGTTAATGTGTTTTTCAGTAAAACGTGAGTGGAAGTACAAAAGCAGCACCTTAAAGGAGAACTCCACCCATTTTTCAAAATTTATGTGAATTCAGTGGTTGAGAGAGAGTAATTAAGACTGGTTTGATGTGAAATGACTCATTATAGAGAGACTTCTTCTACAGCGGTGGTGATGGGAACCAGGCGTTGTGATATCTGCAGCACAAACATAGCCATCTTAATTTACTGTCCACTTACTGTCCACCAGTGAACCTACACGAGTCTTCTGAGTTTATATGGAATGTTGATGATGGAAAATAGTGGAAAATCTGAAATAATAAGTTTTCTTTGGGGACTATTTTGCCTCACAACACCCTGCATGTATCCCTCCACCATGAATGGAGTTTAAGTTCTCTAAACTATCATAAAACAGTGTCTCAGTCATCAGGCAGTGAATTCATAACCATTTACTGTAGGAACTTTCTGTGAGGGAGCTTTTAGAGGTGGACGTCTGGTTCCTATGTTATGTGTTGTGAGGTGGTTATTTCAGGTTTTCCACTATTTTCCATCATCAACATTCCATATAAACTCAGAAGACTCGTGTAGGTTCACTGGTGGTTCTGGATAGTAAATAAAATGTCTATATCTGTGTTGTAGTCATGGCGACCCCTGGTTCCTATCACCACCACTGTAAAGACATCTGAACCATTTCACACCAAACCACTCTGAGTCACTCTGTTTACATCCCACACACTGAGTTAAGCAGAACATTTAGAAACATCAGTAAAGTTTGCGTTTAAGGAATTTTTTTTATACTTTTGAAATGTTAAAATTTAATATAATCAGATAAAATAGTTTCCTTAATAGTCTAATTGAATTTAAGTGTCTGAGGTCAGAGATTTAAACCCTAAAGTGAAGTTTGTTGTTTTTGTTTTTAGTCCAGCTAAAGATTACGACTGTTTGGACCCCCACAGTAAAACTGAGACCAATAATTCGGCCCCTCACTGTAAAACCAAGACGGTCAGTTCGGACCCCCAGAGTAAAACTGATACAGTCAGTTCGGACCCCCACAGTAAAACCAAGACGGTCAGTTCGGACCCCCACTGTGAAGCTGAACCGGTCAGACTGGACAGTTTGATCCCTCCAGGCTCTCGGGCCCCATCCGTCAGCCCCGGGAGGAAGAGGAGGACGCAGGAGGAGAGAGAGGAGGAGCGAGCGAGAGCAGAGGAGAGGAGAGCGGAGAGAGAGCGAGCGCGAGCAGAGAGAGAGAGAGCGAAGGAGGAGAAGCGGCAGGAGCAGCGGAGGAGGAGGGAGGAGGCGGAGAGGGTGAAGAGTCTGAAACCGGAGAACTGCCTGAGGAGTCTGAGAGTGCAAGTCCACCCAGGTAGGACATACGAGCCGGACGAGCTGAGATCAAACACAGAGCGGGTACACAGTTAACTCCGCCCACACAGCCTGATTGGCTTTTCATCATACCTGTATCATTCCACTGACCCCATAACAGTGGTCAGTTTATTCCAAACAGCTGCTACTTTTTTGGTGGGAGAAATTCCATAAATATACACCAATCAGCTACTTCGTTAAGTCCACCTCCTTGTATCTGCACTCATTGTCCACTTCATCAGCTCCACTGACCGTATAGTTTCACTCTGTAGTTCTACAGTTACAGACTGTAGTCCATCTGTTTCCCTGCATACTTTGTTAGCCTGTTCTTCAGTTTACTGTTCACCCTACATCTCTGATTCGCCGGCTCGGGGGAGGAGTCTGAAGCACAACCCTCATTACAAAATGTTCTTCCACACGTTGGTGCAATTACACATTTCCACCAGAGAGGGCTCCAAACCCCCAGATCGTACATAGTGCAGCTTAAATGTATTATGTCAGTCACAATGTGCATTAATATAATGGTAATATGATATATTAATACAGTATCACTGCGTGTTTAGTGTTGCTGCAGGACTGCGGGTGTGACGTGTTATTGGGGGTTTTGGCTGGATTAGAGTGGAGTCACTGTATAGAGGAGCACAGCCTCACCCACAGCATCAGCTGGACCAGACAGACACCTCAGGTACAGTAAACCATTCACTATAAACACAGTACAGTACAGTACAGTACATTGTAGTACAATACATGAGTCCATTACAACCCACTACAGTCCAGTACATTATAGTACAATACATTACAATCCATTACAACCCATTACAGTACGTTACATTACAGTCCATTACAGTATATTATAGTACAGTGCATTACAGTCCATTACATTACAGTGCATTAAAGTACAGTGCATTACAGTATTTACTATTGAATGTTACACTACAATGTATTGCAGCAGAGTACAGTGCATGAAAGTAATGTGCCGTACAGTATGTTACATTGCAGTATGGTACAGTACATTATATTGCAGTACATTGTACTACAGTACATTATAGTTCAGTACATTATGGCACATTACAGTACAGTACATTGCACTGCAGTATGGTACGGTGCATTATATTACATTACACTACAGTGCATTGTGGAACAGTGAAGTACAGTATAGTACATTACAGTACATTACAGTGCTTTGCATTACAGTGCAGTGCAGTGTATTACAGTAATTTACAGTACAGTACATTATATTGCAGTACATTGCACTACAGTACATTATAGTTCAGTATATTATGTCACATTACAGTACAGTACATTGCACTGCAGTATGGTACAGTACATTATATTACATTGTGGTACAGTACAGTGCAGTACAATACATTACATTACAGTACATTACAGTGCTTTGCATTACAGTGCAGTGCATTGAAGTGCAGTGTATTACACTACAGTACAGTATATTACTGTGCAGCACATTAAAGTACAGTAATTTACAGTACAGTACATTACATTATAGTACATTACAGGGCAGTACAGAATAGTGCATTAAACTACAGTGTATTACAGTACATTATACTGCAGTATATTACATTACAGTACATTATACTGCAGTATATTACACTACAGTACAGAATATTACAATGCAGTACATTAAATTACAGTACATTACGGTGCAGTCCAGTCCAGTACATTACAATACAGTACATTAAAGTACAGTATGTTACATTACAGTGATAAACAGATGTAAGGGTAGGTCTGTAATGGGAGAATACATGCAGACTTTAACAGCAGAAATGAAAAGTTAAAGTAGTAGTTAGAACTGTCACACTGTCACACTGTCACACTGTAATGGAAGCGTATATCCTACCATTTTACAAGCTGTAAGCCTAAATCATCACCAACCTGCCTCAGACCGCATGCAGTTTTTAGTAGACTTGACTATGTAGTTTCTGACACAACAGGTGTATCAAATCAAGCACACTTTAAACAGGGCACTGTCACAGGATGACACCTCTGCCACAAGTCAGTACATGAGGTTTCTGCCCTGCTAGATCTGTAAGTGCTCTTATATAAATTAGTGTTATGTCACAGGAACAAAAGAACTCATTCCAGGCGGATGATGCTGGTAGGGCTACAACTGGATTTTATAGCAGTAATCAGTGTGTCCCAGTTCAGGGGCTGCATCCTTCGAAGGATGCGGTCTACAAAGG